ATTTTTTGGTGCTGAAAACCAAACCTAGGGCCTTGTGCATGCTAAGCACATACTCTACCACTGAGCTACATTTCCAGCCTGGGTTTTCACACTTTTAAATGATTGAAAAAAAAATACCTTGTGATATATGAAAATTGTGAGATTCAAAGTTCAGTGTCCATAAGTTTCACAGGAACATGCTGCACACACTCATTTATGATCTGTGGCTGCATTTTGTGCTACTGCAGTAGTTGCAACAGACCTTTCCATGTCTGCAAAACCTAGGGTAATTTACTCTGTGCCTCTACACACCAAGAGCTTGCCCATCCCTGGCCCTCCCCCAATCTGACCCAGTGAACAGGACTTGCATGCTGCCAGCTGGCCACAAGGTGGCAGTCTTTCCCCATGGAGCCTCTGCACTCAAGTGTTCTTCAGCGCTATCCATGCAGAGCCAGGGGCTCCAGCTGGGGGAACAGTCAAGTGGAGTCACACAGCAAGCTGAGTGGCCTTAAGACCAGTGTTTCCTCACTCAGTAAATATTCATTGAATGTACAAATGAAGCAGCCTTTCCAGTGCCTCTGTGAGCTGCCCTTCCTGTCTAGTAGCCTAACCTCCAGGACACTTCGAAGAACTAGGCCAGAGAGAAAGTTGCAAGCAGGAAATGAAAGGGAGGTGCCTGAATCTCGCAAACAATGGGCTCTTTCCCTTTAGGGATGTGGCACCGTGGTGATTGCTCTTGCTTTTCCTCCTGCAGGCTTCCATACACTTGCTGTCTCCTCAGGCAGGTTCCTAGCCAGTCTCCTTCCATGACATCCGTTCCTGAGGCTGCTTTAAGTGGCTGCAGACAGTGCCCTAACTTCTAACCACTTTCCAGGATGAAAACTCGCCTCATTTCTCATGGCTGTCTCTTGAAAGTGAAAGTGTGCTAGGGTGTCCACGTAACCAGATTCCAGGCCTTCCAGAGACTTGCTGGGTGGCTCTGAACAAATCTCACCTCAAGGCCCCTTTCATTCTTGTTTCTGACTTGGCCCTTTGAGAGGATGCCTGCAGAGAGGGCCATCCCTGAATAGCCTGAGAGATGAAGACTGTTCACTTAGGATATGGGCTGAAAGGAGAAACATTCCTGGAGGAAAGGACTAGCTAAGGAGGAACTTTTGGTAAGTTGAGTCCTTAAGAAATTAAATAGCAGACAGTGGGATCCTTTTTGACTTCCATGTACAACATTAGAAATCAGAGCAAGGCCGAAAGGGTCGTGTTCAATTCTGGAACCTCAGACATCTCCCCAGTTGTCAGGCTGGCTTTCCTCTTTATCGAGTGGCTGTCAAGTCTTCAATCATTTAACTAATAGCTATCAAGCAAACAAAGTGGTCCTGGCAGAGCCTGGGGAAGAATGGGCATCCATTGTGCCAGGAGGCAGCACATGGTATCTGGAAGCAGGTCTTCCCCTGCCCCACAGTAAGCACTGAGGGAGGGGTGGGAAGTTTGGGCCTAACTAGCAAGGCCTTTGAGCTGATCTTACAATTACATATGAAGCCTAAGAAAAGAAATGCCACCTCCTGCCTTTCTCAGCTGAGCCTGGGGTGCTGTTCTGTAGCAAACCTTGTGTCACTGGAAGAGTAGTGCAGATGATCAGTGACAGCTCCTGGGCCTTTTGGGCAGGAAGACCTGAGTGTGGCATAGTGCCAGGTGACAAACTACATCCACAGCACATGGCAGTGCTAATTAGCGATTTAGGGGCCTCTGTTGACATATACTCAGAATGTGGTTGTGACAGGTAGCAATTCCCACTTGTCCAGACTAGAGTTTGGAGGCTCTTAAGCTGTCAGCCCTGGCTCCTTTTGGAGGTGGCCACTGCTAGGCACACACAAGTGCGTCCTGTGGTGCTTTCCATGTGGGATGTGGTGGAACTGAAGGAACGGGAACAGACTGGGAGGAAGCCTGATAGGGATCTGGGTGGAAAGAGGCAGATGTGTGCACATAAACACACCTGTTCTGGGGAGAACAAGGCAGTGAAGAGCTAAGCACGGTAACTAGGACAAAGGTGGAAGATGCTGTTACTTAGGTCTGTCCCAGAAAGCAAAATCTCAGGTAACCAGGACAAAGGTGGAAGATGCCCTTACTTAGGTATAGAAGCCATTCTGAAATGCCACCTGTGTGGCTGCCAGGGCTGCAAAGCAGAGCAGGGGCTCTAAACTGAGGGTGTTCCCTCCCTCCCAGTGGCATTCTTTCTGCCTCATCTCGGGGTTACTACTGGCATTTAGTAGGTAGGGGCCAGGATTTCTGTAAAACATTCTATAATGGCCTGTCCCCCAACAGAGGATTTTGCAGATCTTGTCACCAGTCCTTAAGGCCTGACCTGTAGGCTCAGATCTGCATTCTATATGATGTGGGGTCTGGGAGAGCCATGTACCTCATCTGAAAAATGGGGACAACAAAGCTCGTACAGTCCACCAGACAGCTCTTTGAGGTTCATGATCCAAATGCCTAGGAAAACTGTTGACTTTGTAAAGGGCTCTTTCCTGAGTTATTCTGTTTGAAAGATGCATGGGACTAAAGCATCTAGCACAGTGACAGGCATACAGTAGGTGCTCAATGACAGAAAAGCAGTGTTGGGGGGTAGAAGAGCATGTTCCCCCTCTGGCCAATTTCCTCCATATTTCTAGGCCTCCTTTTTTTTTTTTTAAATAAAGTTCTTTATAGGCATAGGGTATCAATGTTGGCAGAGGCTTGTCTTAAAACCATCCTCGAGGGATCAGAAGTAGGACTAACACATCCTGAGGACAGACAGCTGATACAGGAGACTGGGAAGTTTTGCCAAACCCCGAGGGATAGCATTTCAGCCCTATCCTGGAGTTCTGTGCTTCCTGCCCTTCTGGGACTGAAATCAGGGTGGCAGCAACATCACAGGCCTCAGTTCATCAGGTCGGCCTTTCCCGGAGCTGCAAAGGAGACAGCATAGCCTGCTGGTGGGGTGGGGTTGGGGCAGAGAAGCTAGAGCCCAGAACTGAGAATGCCCTTTCACCCTGTCCCCCTATAGCCCTTCCAATCCTGCCAATCTGCAGACGCTGCTGTGTGGGGACCAAGAGCACCATCCAGCCCTGAAGTTGCCACCCAACTCGGAAGGCCAGATGTACCCTTGGGATGTAATGAGCCAGAGAACATTGCACAAGTACATCTAAGTGCTGGAGCAGAGTGCAGTCGCAGAGTGGGTCAGAGCTCAGGCAGACCAGCAAACCTGAAGAGCCGCATTTCATGACTTCAAGATCCCCGGCAATCTGTACTAGAGTCTCTCCCAAGCATTTCAGAGCTGGAAGAGGGCAGAGACCCTCTGACCCATCCCTCTGAAAGCATGAGGAAGCTGAGGGGAAGAGGTGCCTGCCTAGGAAGCACTGTCTTGCAGATCAGCCCTCTGTCCACTGCACTAAGTTGCTCCCTCTGGCATTATAGTTTCCTCTTGGCATATGAGGAAACCAAAGCAGAAAGCAGGGCCTGGCTCAAGGCTGCAGGGACTCTGAGCAGGGACCCTCCTAGATATCAGGGGAAGGGCCTGGTGCACTTGTAGCAGGAGGAGGAAGGGATAAAGTAGGCCAGCTTCTCTCACTGGAGAGGCACAGAAGACCTTGGCAGAATTGCCTTAGGCTGGTCTCTTCCCTAGGCTGAGGTGTCTACATCCACATGAATGGTGACTTCTTTCCATCATTGCAATTTAGGCAGCTAGGAGAAAGAAAGGGAAGGAAGGAGGGAAGGAGGGAAGGAAGGAAAGAAGGAAGGAAGGAAGGAAGGAAAGGTGACCACTTGAACTGAAGTGTAACAGCCCACCTCCCAACCCAGCTGCTCTTCCTCCCCTCCCCTCCTCTCCTTCACTCTCTCATCCAGAACAAGCATGTGCCACACTGCTAGGCCTTGGTGCATAAGGAAGGCACTTCCCAGAAGTGTTTAATCCTCACAAGGCTCACACATCTGGAAGCTAATTTAGAATTGACAGAGGAGACCCTGGGCTCAGGCTCACCCTTCTTTTCCCTCCCCTCCTTGCTGCCAGAGAGACCAGACTGTCCTAGCAGGCCACCACGTTACCCTGCTTTCTGCATTGCAGAGTGCCCCTCTCCTAGTGTGTTGGTGTCCAAGGGCTTTTCAGAAGGAAAGAAAAGGGACAAGGATTTGGTTCAGAGATCAGAGGCCAAAGAAGGTCATGTGTCGTGCTGCTGGCCCAGGCAGGCTGACCCTGGGTCTGCAGTTGGGCCATGCCTCCTGTGTCCATTCACACCCTCTCTCAGTCCCCACCTGAGAGTGTTTATTGGTTGCTCTGGCCCAGCACCTTGACAATTAGGTCAACCTGCCTTGAGGAGGCTGAGGCTCTTGAGAACAGCCTGACTTTTCTCAGGAAGCTGAGGCTAGATTTTGTCTGAACTGTAACTGGGGAAGTCCTGGTAAGTGAAAGGGACTGAGAACAATTGGGGAGGAAAGGAACAAATGCTGCTGTCCACAGGGCCCATCCCCTCACCCCAATTGAGCCACAAACCAAGGTAGAGTGAGGGAAATGAGCTCAAAGAACCCCCAGGGTCTTGCAGCAGTTGTCAACCAAGGAGGCCTCAGGCACAGGATGATGAGGGGACTGGCTCTCACAATGCCACTGTCAAACTCCTGTCACTGGCTGGGGGGAAGCTGAAGCATCTTCCCTCCAATGCACTCAAGTGTCCCGTGTGGTAACCTGAAGGGCCTGGGCTAGGAAGGTCCCAGCTGCATCTTCTACCTGGAGTTCCGAGGCTGGAGCAAGACTAGAACTCAGGATTCTTGCCTCAGAGCCTCATCCTGCTGTTATCCACCAGAAAGCACCAGAAGCCCAGGGAGAAGTCAGGTAGCAGGAGCTGCCCTGGAGACCTGTCCCACTAAGGCATAAAGACATGGCCTTAGCCCCACCTGAAAACCTTCAGGGAGGGCCTGCCCAGCAAAGGGGGGGGGGTGGTGGCGTAAAGGAGAGTGGACACTAGTCAAGTTTCCACTTCATGTAAACAAGGTGGCAGTGACCCTTGCCAGGCCACCACAGTCTGGTGAAGGCCCATAATGGTCTTGAGATGCTTTGAATCCTCTCATCTGGAATTCAGGACCTGAGGTCAGATGGAGACTGCAGGGCAGGAGGCCCAGCGGGGTGGTTCAGGGTGTGGCCTGTGCTCTGCACAGCACCAGGTGGGGCCTGCCCACCACTCTCCTGCGGTTCAGGAAATTACACAATTGCTGGGCTTGGTAGAACTGGGAGTTGTTTTACCTGTGGAGACAAAGGACATAGTTAGGGAAGGATGGAAGTGAGAAGCTCAGTGGATTTGCCACCAGCTCCTATCTTGTGCACTGTCCACTCCTCCAGTTTGAAGACCAGAGTTACTCTCTCCCTTCGAAGCCACTGATCTGGGTACCAGGTCCACAGGGCACCCAGGAAAGCAAAAGGAGAGGAGTTTTCCTGCCCCAGCAACCTCAGCAGGATTACCATGGGTTGGGACATCAAGGGGCCTGCAACCTCACAACCAAAGAGGGGCAAGGTGTGTGTGTGTGGGGACTCTAGAGTCAACTACAAGGACCAATGACTTAGAAGTCTTGCCAAGACTCCTATCACTAGTAGCTAATATCTTGGACAGCTTCAAGCTCTCAGTGCGACCATAGGCACTCTCAGGCAATCCTTACTGGTGGCCACACTGTGAGCTAAAATCATTCACCCTGTTCTAGAGCCTAAGCAGTGGCTCCAGAGCCCATCGGCCACAGTGTATCACCTGGCCTTTCAGGCCAGTATCAGCCCCTCGGCTGCGCAGGCACCTCAGGAAGGGCCAGTAGCCTTTCACTGAAGGAAACTGGAAGGACAGAGAGATTATCCCAGGCAGAGGCTGGGGAGCAGCATGGGCACTGAGGCAGTGCAGATCGCACTCCTCCAGGCCGCAATGGCTCATTTCTCCCCTTCCCAGGCCTCTGCATCCATTTCCACAGCCTTCACAATCCCCAGGTGAGGTTGGCCAGTTCTGCTGCCAGCCAGTTCTTGCTCTGACCTGTGGGGGAGGACGGGGAGCTGACACCTCCAGTTGGCCCTTGAAGCATTGGGCTGTTGGAGGCAGTTCATGTCCTCAGATTGCAGGCCAGCCTCTCCCAGGTGGTGGCGCTGTGTTATTTCCTCCTGGTTACTCCCTGCACAGTAAGGGCCATCTCTCCAGTGCTCACACCACCTTTCACAGTATTTCAGCTGTGAGTTTAATATAGGTTGCATTGCCTCCTGTTCTGGACTATTAGCAAGAGGGACACTGAACAGAGCCAGACCCAGAGTCCTGGTTCTATATCCCAGACTCCTGTCCCTGCAGCCCAGACCCTTGTCCCCGTTCTTGTCAAAAGACTACTGCTCTAGACCAAGATTTATACTTTGCTAGCCACTGCCTTGTCTGAGCCAAACTAAACTCACTCTTCAGAACTTGCTGAAAAGCCAGCCAAGCCCCCCTTCTCTGTGTCCCTCAGACTTAGGCAGGTGACTGCAGGAGGAGGTGGGTGAGGAGACGGGTTGCCTTCCACGGTAATGCTGAGGGCTATATCTGGTGTGGCTCTGCTCAAATTGTTAAATAGAGCCCCTGGTTGCTGCGATGGATGCATCATCTCCACTTCCTGTCCTCAGTAGCTTGTTTTATTTGCTTGGCCTGCTAAAGCAGATGCCGAGTTCCTCCCCAGAGGCAGCAGCGTTTTGGAGGCAGGTAGGCAAAATCAATCTCTGGATCCAGACTCAGGGCAGGAGTGTGGCTCTGGGGGCTGGAAAGCAAGTGTGCTCCAGTGGCTCCTTCCTGGAGAAGGCTGTCTTTGCAGGACCTCCCTCTCCATTCGTAAGGCTGGATGTGAGCCTGGAGAGGTCCCTTATCCTCAGAATTCATTTCCATACTTCTGACAGAGAGCCAGGTTTAAGGGGAAATTCTTGGTGTTCCATCATTCCTTCAGTGCTCATTTATTAGGAACCTTCCACAGGCAGGCGAATTAGACAGCTCAGGATGATGGGGAAGAATACACAAACCACCCAGAATTTCTTTTAACAAAGTATGCATGCATAGGTATGGGTAGCCAAAGAAGACTTAGGAGAGAGTCAGACTACCTGAAAACAGGGGCAAAGGGAGAGGTCACTACAGGCAGGAGAGCATGTGACAGAGCATTTGGAACCAGAGTTGGCAAGCAAGGTGCTGTAAGGTGGGGGGTGGGGGAAAAGGGGACATTGACGTGGAAGGTCACAAGGCTGCAACAAGAACACTGAGTCCCATTTCCTATTGCTTCCGAGGCTTCATATTCCTTTCACCTGGAAGATTCACTCCCTGACATCCACATGGGTCTCCTCTTCCATTCAAGGGTGCTCTCTCTTTGGTTAGAGAGGCCGTCCCTGGGCACCCTTGACAAAAGTCATTCCCCTTTCCTCCAGCATAACATGCTGCATAAAAGACATAATTTGTTCATTTTGTTCCCTGCTGAACTTAGCAAAGTGCTTGGCACAGAGCAGCCAATTCATAGATATACACGTATCACACACAACGGACACACAGGTAGCGGTCAACTGCTTGGGGGACAGACCAATAATAACAAGAATAGCAGCAATCACCTGGTGACAGGCATGCCCTCACTTATCTCGTGCTTTCCTGAGAGAGTGACATGAAGCCCAGCCAGGGCCAAGAGAAACTGAAATGATGGAGGAACTATGATTCCCACCAATAAAATAGGCACAACTGCCAGGTCTCTGGAACTGAGTGGGACTGATCACTGTGCTGCCCTCATCTGCTGTGTGATTGGAATCCCCACTGGTCACGGTGCTCAGAATCATCAGATTAGACTACAATACTGCTCCCCTTGACACACCAGCTGGGGCCTGACCCACACAGCTCAGAGCAACACTGAATTTTGAAATCTCACTTTGACAAACAGCACTTGAGCAGAAGTACCCTAGAGTGGAGGCCACATGTCCTTCAGAAGCTCTGGGCCCAGGAAGCACATCTCTGTTAGTCCATCCCTGATAGGGGCCCAGATTTCCAAGAGAGCTCCAAGACCTCCAGTCCCCCAGGATAACACAGAACCTAAAGTCCCCAAAATCTAGAAGCCTGCTGGCTATAGCGCTATAGAGTGGTAGAGAACCAGACCAGGTGGCCCACCCACACATAAATTGGGGGACCCAAGAGAGTTCTAGAAAGGCATAGCCACTGCAGGTCACCTCAGAGAATGCTGGGAAGAAAAGTTTCCATGTTTACCTTCCTCTCATCTGGTAGGATACCAGTGGGAAGGGTCCAACCTACATTCAGGCCTTTGCTCTTCCAACAGTCTTTAAAGATGCAGGGAAATGGTGCCGACACTAGCCTCCTGGAGACAGACACAGTGGCTTTTCAGAAGGTCTTGGGAGGCAGAGACCATGTGGCCCTTTCCTCACTGCCTGGCTGTGGACATAGGGGCTTGCCCCTTGAGAGCTTAGAGGTCTTGTTCAAGAGATCTTGTCATCAGGCAGGATGCTTGCAAAGACTATGTGAGTTCTGGGTGACAGAACTTCACACCACACACCACTTTCTTAAGTACAGACTCTATTCAAATATTTTTTAACAAGGTTGTTCCCTGCTGCTCCTCCTCGAGGCTTTTAGTCTCTGTCCCAGAAATCTTTCGCTAAGCTCCTGGATGGGCACAGGTGACAAGTGGAGGGAAGGCATGAGCTCACCCAGCAAGGGGCAAGGTCCAGCTGAGAGAAAAGGTAAAAGGAAAATGACTCCCAGATTCTGCCACTAGAGGGAGCTCCAAGCCTTTAAACCACCAGATCGCTCCACACCACAGCCCCAAAGGGAGCGATTCTGTGAGGTTCTCCCAAGGGCTGCACCTGAATTTCCAAAAATTCGCATGCTGTTTGACAACTATATACTTCTTATCAAGCAATTTTACAGGCTGTCAGCTCTTTGTTTTTCCTATCTTTCTCTCTTTCACCCACTCTGTCATCAACACATGTTCTCCCTTAACAAGGGGGTGCAGAGACAGGACAGAGTCAGAATCAACTCAAAGAGACCTCAGAACCCCTTTCCATCTCACACCCTCCTCTTCTAGAAGAAGAGACAGCCCCAGGGAGGGGAAGAACATATCCAGGGAGCAATGTGTTATGAGCTGAGACCATAAAGGCTGTCCTGATGACGTTCCAAATGCTCTCTGTGGCAAAAAGACTCCTTCCCTGGATGGGGGCCTCTAAGGAAGAAGCTAGAGTGCTTTCCTCTTGACCACAGTTCCAGCTGTAGGATTCTTGGTTCCCACCTTGAGCTCATGCTGGGCTGTGTTGTTAGGGGCTCAACCTTCTCATTGTGCTGCTCATTGGCTGCCACCTAAGGGGAGACACTGAGACTGCCCCTGCCCCGGGCGCTTGGGAGCCCCTAAGAAGGGCATTGGGAAAGAAATTGGCTTCTCATCCCTCCCTGTCTGTGAGGAAGAAAGAAGCAGGGGGAGCAGAGGGCTCACGACACGGCTTGAATTCAGGGTCTCCAGAATCAGATGCCCATCAGGGGGTGACAGCTGTGTGGAATGCTGCCTCTGCCTTTCTTCCATGGATGGAGGAGGAGGAGGATGGCACTGTGCATCTCTTGAACCTTCCTGACTATGTCTGCTGGCCACTCTCACTCTTGGTCTTCTCCCTCTGCCCCGGGGTCAGACGCTCTGAAGAGGGGCTCCCAAGGGCACAACTGGGTCAGCTTGGCTAGCTCCAGGGTGCCGTGTGCAAATGCTCAGATAGTCAGCAGTGGGAGTGAACGCCCAAGTCATCCAAACAGGGGAACCAGAGACTGAGAGTGTGTCAGCGAAAGGGACAAGACAATCAGCCATGCGTTTCTATGGAAACACCACCTCAGGGTAAGGGACCGAGGGAAGAGAAGGCTTCCACCTCACTTCCAGTCAGGACTTGGGAAACAGCCCTTTTTTTTTTTTTTGTGGTTGGGCTCATCCCCTCCCCTTCCCTGCCAGGTGTTCACCATGGCAACCTTCCTTGCAACAAAAGGCACACAGCAGCAGCAGCTGGCATGGGGGGGGCGGTAGGGAATGGGAATGGGACCAACCATCTCTCCCCTGACTGGATGTGGGCCTGGGCTCAGGCTTGAATTTGAATCCTAGTTTACAACCACTTTGTGTGCCTTGGGACTATTTAATGCACCTTTCACAGCTTCCACCTGCCACCTCTGGGCTCAAAGGGTCATTGTGAGGGTAAAGGGAGAGAGTACAGATACAGAGCCTGTGGAGCTGCTCAGGAAATGCCTCCAGGCCTCATGGCCATTGTGTGTGTGGGGTGCTGGTGCTGCTACTGTGCCAACATCAGAGGTGCCCAGGACTGCTCTAAGAAGCATATACATCCCCTGAGCACAGCCTAGGTGAATCAGGTGTGGCAGCAGGTACTGGGAATCAGCAAAGGGAAAGTAGTTGTGTGTCTGCTCTTCTGTCACTCACAATCGGGTCAAAGATGGGGTAGTGGGGCCACCTGAGTCCTGGAGCCCTTCAGACCCTGCCTTCATGTAACTGGCCAGCCATGGACCCCAGTTTTGATCACTGCAAAGCCCCGCAACCATGGAGGGAGAAATTCCAACATGGAAACCCTGACTCAGGAATGCTGAGATGAGAAAGGCTCCATAGCAGCCTGGTTGTCACTATCAGCCTCCTGAAAGGCCATACCAGAGATTCCTCCAGAGAGAGATAAAATTCAGGGAGGGGCTGATGGAGTGGCTCAAGTGGTAGAACACCTGCCTAGCAAGCGTGAGGCTCCAAGTTCAATACCCAGTACCACCCCCTCCAAAAAGAAAATCAATAAAACACATACACATGTACAGAATCATCACAATGAAATCATCCTGTATTATTAATGTACACTAATTCAAAAATAGATTTTAAAAAAGACAGGGTTTTGGGGGATCCCAGAGAGATGTCCAGAAAGATGTCACCACAAGAAGGCAAACCCACTTGTCAAACAGACATGAGAAAACCAAGTTAAACTATTTACCACAGAAACAGGAAGCTGGGTCAGGGCATGAGTAGGATACAGGTGAGGGTTGGGTGTGTTTGACCAGGTAAGATCCTGATGGCAGAAATCCAGTAAGAAATAAGGCTGGCCAGAAAGAGCCCTGGACTCAGAGCCAGGGCCTGAGCCCTAGCCCTGCCCCCTGCCAGGCTGTGCCCCTGTTCCTTCATTTACAAAGGAGAAACTTACCATGATTCCTTCATTTACTTGAGTTATTGTGAGGACCTGAATGCCGTCTACCAAGAGTGACAGCAGCCCTCACTCAGTGACTCCACATCCATGTGCTGAGCACTGAGCAAGGCATGCACCATTCTCCCCTTTCAGAGGACAGGAGACTGAAACTTGGAACTGCAGTGACTTGCCCAGGGCCACCAAGTACATGAAGATGGAAGTCAGTCTGGGAACTGAAGACCTTCTGTCCTGGAGCTCCTCCTCTCCCCATGCCAGCAAGCCACCCCCGAAGATGCAAGGCAATGCTTCTCCATAAGGACCATGCGTAAGGCCCCAGGGAAGCAGGCTCACCTGAGATGTTGGCACTGGAATCCTCGTTGGGCCTCTTCCCCATGAGATGCTCGACATCAGCAAAGGTCTCGGTGGACAGGGAGCTGGCCATGTTGTTGGGTGCTACAGGCCGCTTGACCCGTCGGCTGAACAACCTGCTGCCAAAGCGCCTGCTATCCCTAGCTGGGGTGGCCTCCCCGTTGGCAGCTTCTCCCTTGCCATTTTGGGAGAGTGCATCTCGGGATTTGGGCCTCAGGTCTATGTGCATGTGAGAGACCATCCTGCCGTCTTTCTGGCTCAGCTCTCTCAAGGGAATGGGCTCCACCATGGGCAACACCTGCTCCACTGTGACCAGGTCATTCAGGAAGTTCTCCAGGCGTCGGGCCAACGCGCCACCCCCACTGCCCTCTTCTTCCCCCTCAGGGTTGCCAGCAGCCTCCTGCTGTTGCCGGGCAGCCCAGCGCATCATCTCTCCTGGTGGGGGGCGGCTGCCTGCTACCAAGGCATACTTGGGGTTGATAAGTTTGCGAGCCACAGTGGAGTTGAGGCCAAGTCTGCCTGCGCCTCCTGCCAGGCCCAGCTGCTGGTACAAGTTCACTTCCTCTGAGATGGCATACAGCTCCCGGAACTCCACATCGAAGGGCTCCACGTTCTGCCCTGTCAGGAGGAGGAGAAGGTTCCTGTCCACATATGAGGAACTCCAGGTGAACCTGGGGACAGAAAAGCATACACATGAGCCCAGGCCTCTCTCCTGCCCTTCCAGCACCCACCTTGACACCTCACTTCCTGCCCAACTTGTCTTATCACTGCAGCCAGACTGCGCTGCAGGGGGAAGGCACCTCCCACCTTAGCGCTGGACTGTCCTCCTTCCACCAGCCCAAGTTCTCCCTTCCCCAGGTCCCAGCCTCAGATGGAGAAAGTGGGCAGTGGGCCCAGGGCAAGAGCATGAGAAGCCAGCCCTAAATTCACATATGGTGTGTCCGCTTGTGTGCCTTATCAAAATGCCATAGAGTGACCGCTTAGCTCACAAAGTAGTGAGGCTCAGATGAAACAACTAACATAAAACATTAGTTCAGCAACTGGTACAAATTCACACTTGACTCACAGAAACTGAGCTGCTGCCACTATTAATACTGCTCCATTCCTTACTGGCTCTTCTCTGAATTTTTAGAGCACTTACTGTCTGTAAAATCCCACTACTTTCACCTCAAAAGAGGACTCAGGCCATTTATTAATTGTTACATGTGCTCAGGTCTCTTTTCACCTAGATTTTAACTTACTTGAATGAAAAAGACTGCACATATATACTCTCTCGTGTTCCTGGTAATTTACTTCTAAATTAAAATTCTACATATGCCATACCCAAAGAGTTTTTCTCTCCCCCCACCCCCAGGTCTGGACATTCTACTTCCTGCTTGTCCAATGTAAGAACTACCTTCAAAATGCAACTGGTTTCTGTGGATCACAAAAAGTGGGCTTTGCTTAATGTCCCTCTTTCTGTAATAATCCATCAACTAGAAAGTTTGAGGGAAGGCACTGGGCAGAAGGCTGTTTGCCACTGGGGCAGACAATGCCTCTTAAAACTTGTTTCTATGGAGACTCCAGTCTACACCTTCCTGAACAGTTACCTCCTAGGCCTTCCTCTGACCTGGCCCAGCTCACCTATAAGATCCGGTGGCTACTTTGTCACCATCTACCATCAGGAACCTTGATGACAGGGTCCCCTTGATCTTCCCCATAGGCATGTAGAAGCCGATGCCTGTTACAGAGCGGACACGAATGTTCTGTTGAGAAGAGAAAGGCACTGTCATTTTGTTCGGGGACAAGGCTTTGCTTTAGCACAGGAACAATCTTCTTGTCCACAGACTCTGCCTGCTGGCTCCTGCCTTCACTAAACTCCTGCTTCATCCAGTCTTACATAAAGAACTCCTTTGGGAGAGCAGGAAGAAGTCACCAAATCTCACTCTGGGCATGGATAAGCCCAGGGGGGTTCCTGTCTGTTCCCAAAGTTCCTCAGAAAAGAACCACAGCTCCAACTTGAACCTGAGAGTGAAGTTAGTGATTCTGCAGGCTGAGCACAACAGGATTGGGCCAGAGCTGCCTCCTTCAACCTCAGCAGCTGAGGGATAAAATTTAATCTGGACACGTAATTTAGCAGTCATCAGTTCCTGAGTCAAGACTTTACACAGAAAGAAAAGAGTTGAGATCTTGAACTTTACCTGAGCCCCTGAGCTGGGCAGGAGACAGAGGAGGAGCCAAAGAAAGGGGTAGAGGGAGTGTTCATCTCATCTTCCCCAGTGGTGCAACTTACCCGGATACGGAAGTCAGCAAGCTCCAGGCCCTGACACATCTCCAGGAAGTACTTTACTCCTGCCTCATCCAGGATGATGTACACTGGGACCCGGCGCTTACAGGCAGCATCCACAATGTCTTGGAAAATATCACCATCAGTGAAAAGGTCCATGACCACAGCAATGACCTGGACACAGAAAGGCACTGGTGAGGCATGTTGTGACAACACACCTCTAGAGACACACCCACCTGGGGGCCAAGAACCCCACCTGTACCACTCTGGGTTCTCTAAATCCCCACCCATCTCTGAGTACATCTGAGCCCAGGAGAGGAGTCCAAGGGTACAGGCCCTGCTGCTCATACTTTGTTCTGGACTAATTCCAGCCCCCTCTGGAGATTTCTAGCAACTCTTCAGAAGCTGCACCAGGGGATTGCTGCTCCTGTTGACCCAGGGAAATGACCAAGGAGATGTTGTCTGGGAAGTGCAAGGGATGGTCTCCTTTTCATCAGCCACAGATGAGCTTGAACATCCCTTTCTCAGCAGGTCCAGGTGCTCCATTCTCCCTGCAGCTGTGCAAAGCTCTGGGCTTCCCCAGTATGGATCTTGGAAGAGTTCAAGTTGACTCAGGTGCCCCCAGCCTTGGGTGTCCAGCCCTTTCCACCCCTCCTCAGACCAAGAACACTGCTCAGAACCCTTCACTGGCAAAAGTCAGTCCTGTACCATAAGTTATGTACCCTTGAGGCAAAGGTCTTTTGCAGCCCAGAGCAGACCCACTTTTCTAACCTCAGTCATTTTCATTTTCCCACACAAACCACCCTCTACTCCATCTGCAAGGGTTTCCTCATGGGCCCCAAACACTGGGCAAGAAATGTAGAGTAAGGGCTGGACTTTAGGTCAGACACATCTGGTTTTAACTTTGGACTCACCACTTTCTGTTTTTGTGATCTTATGCAAGATACTCGGCCTTAATGAGCCTCTTGTTTCCTCATCTGCAAAGTGGGGACACCCTGTACTTTCTATATTTGCTGTGAGGAGTAGAGATAAACCTGAAGAGTACCAAACACAATACCTGGTTTGTAATAAGTTCTCAAAAAAAAAAAAAAAAAAAAGACACAGTCTCAACAGTTGGGCAAACAAGCCTGGTATACCAACACTACACCTGCTTCTTTGGCAGGAAAACTGACTAACAGTGCCTATTTCAATAGCACCTCACCTGAACTGAGGACTTGGGGACATACACCAGCATTTAAAGCAGGCCCTGACATATGGTCACCTCAATAAGCATTCATCACCAGTGCCACCATCACCACCATACCATCTTCACTCCATGCTCTACCATTACCCTTGCCTCTCAGGTCTCCCTGCCCCCACCTTTATACAATTATCACTCGAGGCTCTCCATGGCTCTTATATTCACCAGTCATTAATACAAGTGTGATGATTACTGAGCCCCAGCAAGCAGAGTGAGATCTAAAGACAAATAAGCTACAGTTGCTAACTGCAAGGGGATAACTCCAGGTGGATGATAAGCCAGTTGCACAAAACAACCAAGGCATAAGGTGAAAGAGATAAATGCTTTAAGAGCTACACAGGTGACATGTGATGAGAGGGAGGGAGACAGACAGACATTCCTTCTAGCCAGGGGAGAATAAGAAAGACGTCACCACGAAGAATGGGACGTCTTAGGGTGCCATGAGAAATGAAAAGGGAGAACTGGCAGGGAGCTTGGCTGGGCTGCCACACATGAGTGTGCCCTGCAAAAAGGTGAGTGGGACTGTGCCTGCTAGAGGAAGGAATACTCTTCTAATTTATACACAGGTGCCACATAGCCTAGCAGGGTCCTACAAGGCACAAAGGGTTTGGCATTGGCAAAGGAACTGTGATGGTTAATTTTGTGTTAAATTGACTGGGCCACAGTGTCCAAACATTTAGTTGAACATTATTTTGGATGTTTCTGTGAAAGTATATTTTGGATGAGATCAGTGTTTAAATCAGCAGTTTCTCTCTCCATAATGTGGGTGGGCCTTGGCAAATCAGTTGAAGACCTTCATAGAACAAAAACTGTTTTCTACCAAGCAAGAATGAATTCTGCCAGCAGACTGCCTTTGAACTTGGATTGCAGCTCTTCCCTAGGCCTTCAGCCTGCCAGCCTACCCTGAGATTTTGAACATGCATCTCCACAATCCCAGGAGCCAATTATTAAAAATAACCCTCTCTCTCTCTCTCTCTCTCTCTCATACACACACCCTGTTGGCTCTGTTTTGTTTTTTCTGGAGACCCCTGACTAATACAGACACTGAGGATGCAATGAACATGCGCTAAATTATGCACTAATCTGATTCTCACAACTGTTCTACCAGGCACTGTCTCAGGTCCATTTGACTTGAGTCTTCATGCCACTACTTCAAAAATGGGACTGCTATAAGGTATTCTAGAAACATTATATCAAAAACTCATTCTTGGGTTGGGCACAGAGGCTCACACCTATAGTCCAAGCTATTATCGGAAGGATCTCAGTCCAAGTCACCTGGGAAGAAAGTTCACAAGACCCTACCCCAGTCGATGAAAGCGGGGGTGGGGGGGTGCGCACGGGCCTGTGACGCCAGCCACCCAGGAGGCACAGAACAGTGGTCGAGCTCCAGGCCGGCCAGGGCATGAACTTGAGACCCCATCTGCTTCACAGGCCCGTTCGTCAGTTTCTAGCTCAGCACTGCAGTTTTGTTCCCGTGGCGCTGCAGTATGTCTTACTTTCTGGTAGAGCACCTGCAAGGCACCTGAGTTCAAACCCCAAAATAACCAAACCAAAGCCAAAATCAACAAAAAAGCCTCATTCTTGGAAAAAACCGAAAAAGACAGGCAAACATGTGGTGAGACTGATAAAAAGGAGAGGAGATACAAATAAAATACTGAATGAAAAAGGAGAAATAACTGTAGACATAATAGAGATTTAAGCAACAGTAAAAATGGTGAAAGAATATTAAGATCAATTATACGTTCGAGAATTTGAAAATGCAAATGATTATTAAAATTTAAAAGCTGAACATAATACACCATAATCAAGTAAGGTTTATCATAGGACTGTAGGGATAATTCAACATCAGAAAATACATCATTTTCATTTATAACGTGGAATAAAAAATCATATTTTCTTAATAATTTTTAAAAGCATCTGATAAAATTAGATCCCTAGTAATAATTAAAATTCTCAGAAAGTTAAGACTTAGAAAGGACTTTAATTTGGTAAAGTCTATCTACCCAAACCCACATGGAATATTTTACTTAACAGAGAAACTTAAGCTATATTCCCTGTAAGTTTCAGGCAAATCAAAGCTACTACACACTATGACCTTATTGGTCAACACAGTATCAGAGGTCCTAATCGATACAATGACAAGAAAAAGAAATAGGAGACATAAGGATAAAAAGATGCAAAACTACCAGTATTTAGAGATGCTATTTTCATCATCAAGAGAATTAGAATTACTAAGAAAATTCAGTAAAACTGGCAGACATAAGAAAAACTTCCAAAAATCAATAGCCTTCTTCTACTCAAATAATAACCAACTAAAATAAAATAAGATACTTTCACAATTACAACATAAGTACATACTATATAGGAATTAATACCTTTAGGTATTTCTGAAAATCTCAATAAGGAAACTTAAAATATGTGAATAAATGGAGATAAGTCATGAAGAGATATGATTTAACATGTCAAAATCTAATTGTTCCCATATTAGTAAAATCCAATGCAATTACAATAAAATTCCAGTAAATGTTTTTGAACAACTCAATACTTCTAAGATGTGAGGACGAATAAAGATCCAAAACCAGCTACATCGATTTTGAAAAGAAAAGGCAAAGGGGATCATATCCTATAGAAAGTAAGACATACTACAGAGGCATAAAAACTGTACTACACATGAAAATAAATTAAAAAGAAAAAAATTGTAGTACTGAGGTAGGAACTGACAAATGGACCAATGGAACAGACTAGTGAAACCAGACAGACAGACACACACTCCCCACATATACATAAAACTTTATGATAAGGGTAGGATCACAACTCAATGGAAAAATAAAGGTGGATACTCCACTCACTCCATACATAAAAGTGAATTTCAGGTAGGCTAAATACACAAATGTGAAAGACAAAACTAAGAAGGGAGTTGATGAAATTTAGGGAAACATCTTCATGGCATGGGGATAAAAAAACTTTCCAAAAGCACCACCCATAAGGCAAATAAAATTTAAAAGATGCATTTGAAAATTTGGAGATTTTTCTGTTCAAGTAAAGAGGCAATAGATAAAGGCAACCAATAAGTGACAGGGGTGCAATATATACAACCAAAAAGAATTAATAACATACAGGGATTTCCATAAGTTAAGAAGAAAAAGACAGGAAAATAATTAGAAAAATGGGCAGAAGATATGAAGAGGCAATTCCAAGGAGATACCTGGATGATTTCTAAGTGTATAAAGAGCAGACCTCAGTAGTAATCAGAAAAATGTAAATAAAACATATTGATGGCTCATGCCTGTAATCCCAGCTACTTGGGAAGCTGAGATTGGAGGAGGATGGAGGCTTGCGGCCAATCCGGAGAAACAGTTCATGAGACCCTATCAACAAAATAACCAGAGCAAAAATGGACAGGAGGTGTAGCTCAAGCAGTAAAGCACCTGCTTTGCAAGCACAAATCCCTGAGTTCAAATCCCAATCCTACCAAAAAAACCCCACATTGATAAGGGATACCAGATACCACTTTATAAATTAACTAAAAATTAGAAGGTTGGATAATCCTAAATGTTGGTAGGTAGGGAAAGGGAAACCCTCCTTCTCTTCTGGTGTGAGTGGACACTGTTGTCTGGAGCAACAGGCAGAATTTACTCGATTTCTATAAGCTAGCAAAACCACCCTTGGCCATGCACCCCAGGAAACCTCTTGGATCTTGGCATAGGTCTACAAAGGGAGCAGGAACAAGGACACTCACTGTAGCTTTCTTTGGGATAGCAAGGAATTAGTGAAAATTTAGATGTCTTTCTCTAGAAGACTGGGTAAGGAAAATGAGGCATGAGATAGGATGTTTTATAGTGGACAGAAGCAATGAAGAAGTTCCATGCATAGTAACTTGGATAGTACTTTTTTAAATGGATAGTTCAACTGAAAATGTTAGAGAGTGAGATCT